GAGAGAGAGAGAGAGAGAGAGAGAGAGAGAGAGAGAGAGAGAGAGAGAGAGAGAGAGTCGCGGTGGCAGGGCAAGACCAGGAAACAAACAAACACAAAAATTATAAACGAAAAAAAAGAAAGATAACCCAGCTTCCAGGCTTGATGTTTTATTTTTCAACTTTTCAACAACAACAATTCATTTCAGCATCAACAACCAAATGCTTTCTTTCGAAGGAGGGTAGGGGTAGACTCCACATGATATGCTTCTCTTTTATTGTGTGTGTGTGTGTGCATGGCGACGGGCTTGAGATATCATCATCGACCTGACAAGCCAAGCCTCATTGGTGGAAATTATTTCATCGGGGGACCAAATGAGCAGTCTCGTTGGTGTACAGGATACTCCGGTCTCATAAGGACACGCCGTCGACGTGCCGATCAGCTCCCCAGACCTTCTTCACGCACAACTCGGTGCGAGTATAAATAGCCCTGAGCGGCGTGAAAATAGGGCGAAAGGGCACAGAACGCTCAAGGCAGTGGGAGGGACTGAGTTCGCTTCTCAATTATATTCAACTGTCACCATCGCCAGCGGTCGCGACGGCTAGAAACTGTCTCTCTCCCATCGTCACGTAGGAGGGACTGAGTTCGCTACGAACCACAGAGAGAGAGAGAGAGAGAGAGAGAGAGAGAGAGAGAGAGAGAGAGAGAGAGAGAGAGGATGGCGGGGAAGGGGAATAGCCCGTTGAAAAGGGCAACGGGGTTGGTGATGCTCGGCTGCTTGGTGATGGTGCTATGCTGTGGAATAAGCGTGGAGGCTAAGTGCAAGGCGTGTCCGTGGAAATGTGGTGCCTGCCTTACTTTGTATGCTCCAGTCTGCGGATGTGACGGTATCACGTACTCCAACGCCTGCGTTGCTCATTGTCAGTGCATCGACAAGACGACGCCCGGAGCTTGTGTACCACGGCCGACCAAACCGTAATTCCTGCTTTGCGGTGTGCGAATGCATCAACAAGTGCTTCTCGGAGGGAGAATGCTAAAAGTAGTCAGACTCTGTCGGAGTACTTTCTCGGTTAGTTAATATGGGAAATGCAAGTCTAACTGAGCCGTGACAGTGGTCTGTGGCCACTGGAGCTTTTCGCTTCTCTCTTTCTTGAAGTACCTTGTGATGGACAGTGGACTATAAAGACTGACTTAAAGTTTGACTGTATTAGTTGGGACTCGGGAGCGAGTTATGGGTTTAATATATAAAGACGGACTTAAAGTTTGGCTGTATTAGTTGGTAGCGAGTTATGGTTTTAACGGATGCTTCATCTGACTGACGATAACGACATTGGCCTGACAGTGTGTTTGTAACTTTGTAGTGCCGCTGTATGTGAGGAATCAGAGGAAGTAGTAGGACAAAGCCTCACGGAGCTCAGCTATGTATGACTTCTACGTTGTTTATGTTCGATAGGAATGATGCAGGTTGCTTTCGTTTGATTGTGAAAACGTTCGCCGCGAGGATGTAATGATCTATATTTCTCTTCCTCGTCTTCAGAATCTCCTCATCCTCCTCCTCCTCTTGCTCCTCCTGCTTCTTCTTTGTTTTCTTTCCTTCCTCCTTTCATCTTCGTTTCTTGGTTTTCGTTGTCTTCTTGCTTCCGAGCTGGCAGTCCATTCAAGAGCTCACAAAGAGTAGTGCTTCACTAAATGGAGGGAAGGTCTCCACGAGCTCAAGACAAAGAAAGGGGAAAACGAACGCAGAAAGAAAAAAAAAAAAAAAAAAAAA